CTAGAGGAATTCTAAAATCAACCTGCAACAAGATTCTTAGAGACACACAATCACTAAATTAACCAATTCTTCCTAAACATCACCTCCTAAATTGGCCCTTGGCTCTTCATTCCTGACACCAACATGTCAATTCATGTTCTTTTCACCCCATGCCTTTCCTACTCCCATATTCTTCCTAAAGCTTTCTGCTCTCTCCTGACTCCAGTGCACCCTCTCAGGAACACCAGATAAATCCTCCTAACAACACACATTTCTCCATGGCTTTTTTGTGTCCTTGAAAAATAAAGCCCAAACCTCTCAACAGAACATTTAAGGGACTCCACAATTTGATCTTACCTACCTTTGCATAACCATGAACCCAATGACCATTCAAACTAGTCTACCTTTTACACTTCACTCCTGAGCACACCACACACAACTTCTCCTTTGTGTCTTTCTTCAAACTGTCGTCCTGGAAATGCACCTTAATTTAATGGGCATACTGTCATTCCCTCAAGCCCATATATATCTTTCTCTTTCCCTATAAAGTCTTCTGTGGCTGGGCATGGTGGCTCACGCCTGGAATCCCAGCACTTTGGGAGGCCGAAGCAGGCAGATCACGAGGTCAGGAGTTTGAGACCAGCCTGACCAACATGGTGAAACCCTGTGTCTACTAAAAATACAAAAATTAGCCAGGCATGGTGGCATGTGCCTGTAATCCCAGCTACTCCGGAGGCTGAGGCAGGAGAATCGCTTGAACCCAGGGGGCAGAGGTAGCGGTGAGCCAAGATCCCGTCACTGCACTCCAGCCTGAGCGACAGAGCGAGACTCCATCTCAAAAAAAAAAAAAAAAAAAAAAAAAACCAAAAGTATTTCTTGACTACCACAAGACAATACTTTCTCTCTTCACTGAATCACAAAAGTACTTCTTGGCTGTAGTATTCATTGGGTACTTTGAGTAAGTATTCTGTACCTGTATTTGATATATAATTTATGTATTTTAGCTCTTGAATTAAATTAAGCTCCTTGAAGGTAGGGATCTTATATTGCCAGTTTCCAGCAGTATTGCACAGAGCAGCGTTCAATGAGGAGCCAGCTTTAGATGCAACATCATAGGATTCAAAATCTTCGAATCCTCTGTTTCCAGATTATTGGCAATATTATTCTGCATATTCCAAAAATAATATTTTCCAATGTTTAGTGGCACTTTTATTGAGACAATATTTTTTGGGACATGATCTAAATGCAAAATGAAGTATTTGGCTTTATACAGTAAAGTTCTGTCAAGAACTTTCTTAAAATGCAAATCATTTTTCACTTCTTTCTTGTGTATTAGATGAGAATTCTGTATGTCCAATGGGTTAAAGAGTGAGATTCTTATGTGAATAACATCTCTAAAGACTGTTTAACATTAAAAAGAAATTGAACCCTGTTCACCAAATGTTCTTTTGTACAATATTATTAACAATTGTATTTTATCTCTATATAATTATCGCTATAAATAATCAATCTACTTTTCATTTGCTTAAACTCAAATTTTTACTTTGAATATTTCCTTCCCCATTGAGAATGTGCTTATAACCATTGAGAGTGTAAATCCTATTGTAATTTTGAAATGTTTGCATCAGTAATTTTTAGAAATGTGAATTAGCTATCAAGAAAAAACATGAAGTAGGATGATTTGTTACGTATTTTATAAATGAAGTACAAATTTGTGACAATTTTGAGATAAAGGTCAGTCAGATACATCTAAATGAAAGTAATCTATTTACACTGTTATAGTATATATATGTATACACACATAAATTAATATATATAAATTAATAAACTAACATGAATTAATAGAGCTAAGGAAAAGAACGGGAGACATGTATCCCTTCAATAACTATAGTAATAGTTTAGCACAATTTCAAAATAGTGAACCAAAAACTTTCACTCCTAAAGTTTGTTATATGAGTTAGCACATTATTATAATCAATACTTTGAGGCTTGCATAATGAGAACACAAGGTATATGTAATTACATTACTAACAGGAAAAAAATGTTTAATCATTTTTAACTCAGGGGCAGACAAATATCTACTTTTCTACTCAAAATGCATGATCAAGTAAATTGAGTTCATAAACATTTTTGAAAGGATAATAAAAAGTTTACCAGATGTATAATTTAGAGCATAGAAGGGTCTTCCATTTCCAGTGCAAGTGCCAAAAAAGACAAACGGGGAAAGCTTACTGTATTATACAAAACTATGTTCTTTCCATATAATTTGTAATAATTTCTGAATTTTTCTTAAAAGTAAATAGAATAATTTACTCTCTCTCTATATATATATATAACCTAAGTTATCTACTTGATGACTTTTTAGTAATGCTAGATTTTAAAATGTGGTTTGATTTTTCTCGTCAGCAATTATTACATCTAGCATCATTATATTTATTTAATTACTTTGTTCATTCTGTTTCTCCATTCCCACCACTAGAATATACCTCATTAGGGAAGGTAACTTAAGGTGACAGCTATGTCCCTGATGCTTAAAAAAATACAAGGAGCTTACAAAGTGTCTTAACCATATCTTTAAACTCATACCTTTATGAGTTTAAAATCATAAAGGAAAATTATCAAATATCAGGCTTTAAAAACATCTTTTATTATTAAGGAGTCTCATTCCACCATCTCCTTTTATAGATGTAGAAATTAAGATGTTGAAAGATTACGTGATGTGTGAGGTCACAGAACTTTAGTACTAATGGGCACCTTAAACCTCATGTGGTCCAAATATTCAGGTGCTTAGGGCCACCCAGCCTATTGTTTAATGTCTGCAGTGATAAGGCTTTTGCTACTTTATAATAGCAAAATATTTATTCTTTTACTTTTTTCTCATATGTAATGAAGATTTCTATACCTGTACATCAATTCTTTAGTCCTAGTTAAAACCTTTGTTTATACATAGTATGTCTAGACCAGGGTATATCATGAGAAGAAGCGGGAGGCAAAGAGATATCGGGGGAAGAATGGAGTAGGAGGAGTTTAGGCCAGAACTTTCAGTCTTAAAGGGCCACAAATTTAGACTTCCACACTACATAAAATTATACATACATACATACACATACCCACATATACACATATATAAAATATATATACACAAATATATACATATGTGTACTTTATATACACATATACATATACTAAATATGTCATAATACACACATTACATATGTATATATTAAACAGAAGAGTATGTATTTATATGTTGTGTCTCATAGAATTATCAGTTAAAGGCCGGGCGCCGTGGCTCAAGCCTGTAATCCCAGCACTTTGGGAGGCCGAGGCGGGCGGATCACAAGGTCAGAAGATCGAGACCATCCTGGCTAACACCGTGAAACCCCGTCTCTACTAAAAAATACAAAAAACTAGCCGGGCGTGGTGGCGGGCGCCTGTAGTCCCAGCTACTCGGGAGGCTGAGGCAGGAGAATGGCGTGAACTCGGGGGGCGGAGCTTGCAGTGAGCCAAGATCGCACCACTGCACTCCAGCCTGGGGCACAGAGCAAGACTCCGTCTCAAAAAAAAAAAAAAAAAAAATTATCAGTTAAATACAAACTGTTTAAATATGCCATAATCTTTTTCTAAAATGTGTAGAGATTCAGGAGGTATATGTGCCGGTTTGTTACATGGACGTATTATGTAATGGTGAAGTTTGGGCTTCTAGTGTACCCATCACCCAAATAGTGAACAGTGTATCCAGTATGTGACTTTTCAACTCTCCCTCTTTTGCAGTTTCCAGTGTCTGTTTCTCTCTGTATATCCATCTGTATCTATTATTGATCTCCAACTTATGTGTGAGCACATGTGGTATTTGATTTTCTGTTTCAGAGTTATTTCACTTAGGATAATGGACTCCAGCTCTATCCATGTTGCTGCAAAAGACATGATTTCATTCCTTTTGATGACTGCTTAGTATTCCATAGAGTACATATACCACATTTTTTAATCCAATCATATGTTGATAGACACTCAGGTTGATTCTATGACTTCACCATTGTGACTAGTCCTGTGATAAACATATGAATGCAAGTATCTTTTTGATATAAAAAATTGTTTTCCTTTGGGTAGATATCCAGAAATTAGCTTTCTGGGTTGAAAGGTGATTCTATTTTTAGTTGTTTGAGGAATCTCATACTGTTTTCCAAGTATATATAAAGGCTATACTAATTTACATTCCTACCAACAGTGTAGTGTATAAGCATTACTTTTTCTCCGCTTTCTCGCCATCTGTTATTTTTTGACTTTTTAATAATAATCATTCTGACTGGTGTAAGATGGTTTCTCATTGTGGTTTTAATGACTTGGTTTTATGATGAGTGATGGGTACCGTCATCTTTTAAACTTCATGTTTTCTTCATTTATCTTCTACTATATAAGGAACTTCAAAAACAAAGCCATACTGTACTCATAGTATTCTCTGAATCTGTATCTAATCTCCCTTCCATATAATTGCTAATATATTTTCAGAGAGCATTCCATGTGACTCTCTAACCAAACAAGCCTAATTCTTCAGTTGTTTCAATATCCGTCTAAATCCCACTTTCCCCTAAATATTAAACTTATTGAACGCCAACATAAAAATGTAGTTTCCAGGATTAAATACATTAATCTAGATGGGATCTTCATAGGAAAAAATAGCATGGACCTATTCCCTGATCTCGTCAAGAAAGTACATTTCTCTCAGTGCAACCTATAATTCTATTTGCTTTTTCATTGACCATATCACATTTGACTCATATTGAAATTAATGTAAGACAATTCTTACTCATTTTCTCTGTGCTACTGCTAAGCCAAGTTTCTGTTATTTTATATTTCTGCAGTTTAATTTTTCTTTGCAGGGGGAAGTTCCTCAAATGAGTAACTGCTTTATAGTTTCTTTTTAAATACTGTTATGTTCATAGAAGGTACATAATCTGAAAGTTAAACATAAACATTTAATTTAGGGCAAAAAAATATAATTTTTGAGACATGCATCCTACCTATAAAAACCTGGCGGTGCCTGCTTCACCAGAAAGCTTTTCTCCATGTCTTGGAGAATGTCATTCAGCATCCGGATGCGGTTGGATGCTCTCTCCTTGGGATCATTAGCAGGTCGCATCTCATCAGACTGAAAAAGTTCAGCACTCTCCCGCAGGCGTGACGCCATAGCTAACAGTTGATGAGTGTTGGGTTGATCACCTGGTGAAGATAAATGAGCCCATCTCAGAAGAGACATTCTCACGGGAGCAAATTAAGCATTTTCCCATCAGGACTCTAAGTTATAAACCAGACAGACCACTGAAGAAGGAAGAGGAAATTGTCGTTGACTGTTCTCTCTCTCTCCTTTTTTTTTTTTTTTGGTCACTTGACAAAAGCAAGGGTATATGTATTTGAACCTTACCTGTCCAAGGAAAAAGATTCAGTATCAAGTAAACTTTGAGAATATATTTATTTTGCCCAAAGCATTCTGTCTAAACTTGTTTTTATATTCTACTAAATTAAGTTTATAACTGCTCATAATAATAATAATGGTAAATATGTACAGTACTGATTGTTGAAGGATTGCTATATTCCAGGCACTATGTCTTTAATATTGACCAAAACTTGCTTGTCACATTTCATAGAAGATGAGAACTAAGTAAGGTCAGAAAATTGTCATAGGTTATCAAGCAAGTAAATAACAGGACAGAATTAGAAGTTTGATCTTTCTGACTCAAAAATTTATGTTCACTAGAGAGTAAACTGTATTTCAGGGAAGAAAATAAAAATTGAATTGTGATCTTTTCTCTTGAGAACCTGAGATATGTTACTATATGTTGTCATGTGTATATTGGGTTCTTTTTTTTTTTTTTCATTAGAAATGTCCTGAAATGTGAGGTTGAAATATATCTTTGACCTAAGAATACACTAACAACTATTTTATGTAGTGTTTGCATTGTTTTGTTTTACTTTGGAGGTTTGTGTTTGTTTTTGTTTCTTTTCCAGTTGTTAGCATAACTTACTAAAAGTCATTCTGAAAAGAATGATGGTAGCAAAGGCTCCACAGGATGTACCTTTGACTAAGAGAAAGGCAACACTAGTATAGTTGTCCACTGAACTCTAGAGCCAGTCCACTTGAGTTTACATCTGCTCTACCACTTAGTATCTATGTGATATTGGTAAAGTTATTGAGCCTCAGTGTCCTCATCTATGAAACGAATATAATAATTGTACCTGCTTCATGTAGTAATGCAACAACAATGTAATAATAGTACCTGCTTCATAGATTTATTTATAGAGGATTAAATGATTAATACTTGTTCAGTATTTCCCTATGGATAAGCACTTCTCAGCTGACGTGATTCAAGACTTTCTTTAAAAATTCTCTCACCATGTCATGAGAGGGGCATTCCCTCGCATCTTCTTCTAGGTATCTCACCATTAGAATCAGCCTTTAAGTGAGACAACAATTACTGGTATCATTCTCAGAGACTAGGTACAACTGACTTCAACAAGACTGGCACATCACTACAGAGGATCACTTCAAGTCAAGGTAATGAAGGAAAGTAGAGCTGGATAACCTAAATTGGCAGTTTGAAAGGATGACATTGAGACAGACAGATGGTGTGATGAATGGAGGCCTCCTGAGGCCTTCACTAGGAGAAGTCCTGGGCAAAAGGGAAACATCACAAAAGGACTCTCTTAAGTAAAGTCCAAGGGTTACCAGTTCCCATTATACTTGGTCCTTATGAAAATGCAGATTCCCAGAACTATTGATTCTTTCTAGGGGCGGAGCCAAGAATCTTGATTTCAATATGCTACTCAGATTATTCTATACATATTCAAGAAAATTACAGAGAGGTGATATGCTAAGAAAAGGAAAACTATGTTATATGTATAGCTGATACATTAAGTATGCTTGTCATAGAACTACCAACTTCTAAAATAATGATAATTTTTTATTCTCACCTTCCTTCCTTTGATGGAGACTGTTTTACAATTCAATGTCTTTAGTGCCCAGCATGGTGTTGAAATTCAATAATTGTTTACCAAATAAGCAAAGTAGGTTCAATAAAGTATGTTTAGAAAAAAAATCTGATAACAAATAAAAGCATGTAAAGAGATAAGTAGTTTCATAAGGGCTACAAAGAGATTCACAGGTAGGATTACATGAAATGTTCTTAGAGAACATAGTCATTTTTGCTAATTTTCAATATTCCACAATCTAGTTAAAAATTGTGGTAGAAGGAGAAATAATGCTTGAGGCTAATATGTAGCTCCCTGTTCACTGAAATTAACAATAAGAATAAAATCAATTGTAGGAGTTCACAAGGTTTTGGCATTTGATGTTTCCAAAGTGCATTTCACATTCATTAATTATCTCATTTGATTTCACAACAAAATGAGGTTGCAAGAATGGGTATTTTAGGTCATGTAGAAAATCTAGCCCCTGAATAACTTACTCAATGCCATTTTATGAAAATAGTTTGTCCTAAATTTTGATGTTTCAGCAAAGTTAATGCATAGATAACTTACAGGGAATATCTCTGCATAAGGAAAGAATAAGATGGATACAGCACATTTAGATTACGCTAGAAAGACTGAACAACAGAAAAAACAAGTTCGACATCCTTGAGAGTCTTCCATTTAAGAAAGAAAAATCTGTTCTGATCTAACGTACATTACAGAATTGAACACATTACTACTGAATCAAGTGAGATAAATTGTACCATTCTACCTTACTTAGCTTTAAATGAATTTACCTTTCATGGTAGTACAGACGTAGAGAACTGACAGCTTTAGGAACTGACTGGTTCCAGAAAGGACCCTGATAGTGGAAACTAGCCACTCACAACACACCGTATGCATTACTTCAAGGGTATGAGGTTACAAATTGAAAAGTAGCTCTATCTTCAATGTTCACTCAATCATTTTGATATATAAATGATGCTCCAAAGATTTCTAGTAGCCATTTCTCTGCCAATTAGAGCTTGCTTGTTCTTTTAAATCAGACCAGAAAGAAATGTTACCTTTCCTATTTAAGCTTTTGTGACCCCAAATGATTGGTCTTTTATGCTCCTTAGGATCCCTACTAGAATATCGGTTCTGTTAAGGAAAAGGTTTGTGTCTTTTATTCACTGCCATTTCCCTAGCACCTAAAAGTGCCAGTTGTACCATTTAATCAATGAATAATTAACTTACACACTTTTATCACAGCAGCTGCAATATTTTGATCCTTGTCTGCCCTCTCTACTCTTTCTGACTGGAAAGAACCCTATATAATCAGAAAATACATTTTATTTCTCTTTGTATCCCCAGATTGTAGCACAATATCTGTTTTATGGTAGTCATTTATTAATATATTTGTTGAGTGAATGTTGAATTATGAGATGTCTTTATTTGAATGTATTATATTAAACAATGTCTACAAAATCATTCAAGGAGATGTTTGGTGCATAATAAGCATCAACAAATGCTATTTCCTTTATTTTCTTACTAAAAATCCATTATAATTGCAAAATAAAAGAAAAATATTTAAAAGAAAAGAGGCTAGTGTGATGACAAGTTAAATTAAACTAAATTGAAATAAAATATGCCCTACAAAAACTCCATAAAAACTGCGATTAAACAAAACTTTACTTAAGGCATGGTGAATTTCAGAGAAAAGAGGACAAACTGAGGCTCTTCACAGTTCAGGTTTAAAAAATAATAAGTACATTTGAACAAAGAAAATTAATAGAAAACTAGATATTTCTCTCAGAGAGGATTAATACAATTATTTTTAAAATTATATACATGGAGTTTACAGACCAAGGACTTGATATTCAAAAGATAGATTACAGTCTGGTTTACTTAATTGCTATCAGTGTGGTCATGAATAAATTATTTACCACTACTGTCCTTCAGGTTCCTTGGAGAAAATAATTATGTAAGTTTCTAAGTGTATAAATCACTATTTACACAAGTTTGTGTTATTAGAGAACACAAACTAAACACAAGTTACTACAAACCCATTTTTTTAAGGCATGGAAAAAGTACTGTAACAACTTTACTGATTTTTTTTTCTTCAGAAATGTTACTCTTTATCACTTCTTCAACCTGTGCCCCCCCAACCCAATGTATCATATTCTATTTTACTCCTTATATAGACTTTAATAAGGATTTCTAATTTTATTTTTCTGTGTTTATAAATTGAGTGCCATTTTTCCCCATGGGCTGCTATCTCAAACTTCTGAAGAACAAGGAAAGAAATAACAGAAAGGATAAAGGAATTAAACAGTGAACTTTAAAAAGTGATTCTTTTAGATCATTGCTCCTGGTGAAAAGTGAACCATTAATAAATTTTTATAGTACGGTAGAACATGCTGATTTATTGCAAATATTAAAAATCAAGCTTAATATAATACAATGTAGTTGACTGTCTACTGAAACTATCTTGATATTATTTGAGACAACTGAAATGAACTTACAAATTTCAAACAAAAACAATTTGCATTTGTTCTGTTTCCCCTCATCTCAAAGTAAAATACCTGTGTTCAGTAGGTATTTACTGAGTCCTATTTTGTATGTTATTCTGAAAGTATTGAGAAGGAAGGAAAGATATGTAAGATTAAATTTTTAACCTTAATAAATTCCTGATCTAGGATACAAATGTACATATACATCTAATTATACAATAAGTGTCACATGAAATAAATACACACGAGGATGACTGAAGAGCTCGTTGTGTATAAGAATGATCTGACAAGTGTCCAGGGAAGAAGTAAACCTTGAGAGATAGATCATGAAACTGCCTGAAAATCCAGGACATCTTAAATGAACTCTTGAAAATTATGGAATATTATCTACAATTAAAGCAGCTGAGGGAGAGTGTTCCATTTTTAAAAAATATGTCTTTCCATCCTCATCCCTTAGTCCTCACTATTCTAGAGGTTGAATCTACCTCTAACCCAAATCCTCCCATTTTTCTGGCTTGTTATGGAAAGAATGGAGCTGGATATTGTAAGAAGTATTAATATTAATTAAAGAGGAAGAAAGAAGGAAGGAGGGAGAGAGGGAGGCAGGGGGAGAAGAAGAGAGAGATAAATGTTAGTCAATAGATATCAAAATAGACATTGACATGTAGGCCAGTCAATTCAGGAAAGACTCTAAGATGTTCTGGGGAAAACAAATGCCTTCTACTCAGGGAATCTTTTGCCTTCTAGCCAACCATCATCCTG